CTAAACAATTACGGCCACAAGGTTCTCATTAATATATTACGAATATTTTAAAGTTTTCTTTTTAGTATAAATAAAATATTTTTTTTAATTAACATAAAACTGACTTTTTATTTATCAACCATTTTGGCCCTCGAAATGTTTGCTGAAAAAAAAAATATGTCCCGCGGGCTACGATAAGTTGGACAGCGCTGATGTAGAGGACTATATGTTTTCAAAATCTGGTGGCTCTAGTTGCCGACATTTTTCCGCAGTGCGAAGAAATACATACTTACAGATTCTTTATTAGTTAATAACAGAGATAAGATGTCATTTGTTACATAAATCTATTTATAATAATTACTGTTTTGTTTTTATTCATTTCATTGTAATCTGTTTCAAACTTTTTGAAATTTTTAATGTTAAACTCTCCTTTGGGATGTTAGACTGAAATCTAAAGTTTTCACTGCAATATTTTATTGGGAGGAGGGGGTAAGGTTAAGGGCGGTGAATAGGGGATATTGAGGCATGATTTTATCGCATCTTAACGCACAGCAAAACATCTTGGTTTGCAGACCTTGACTACTTTTTTTTTTTTTTTTTTTTTCGTGTTCATTCATGTTTTCACTTTTGTATCCCCATTGTCTACAAATTGCACTTTACGAACCTTGAACATATTACTCAAAGAAAATATCTTAAAAAGAAATCCAAATACCTAAAACTTACAATCACGAATGTGAAACCTTGTAAAACGTACGTGAAGGAAGTAAGAAACACACCAAAGATCGTTTTGTTAGATAAACCAGTTAAGGTTTGACAGTAGCCATCAACCGTAAGAATAGAACGAGAGCAGGTTCGGAGTACGCGGTAATTACCTCTCGAACGTGTTGGAACAACCCCCAATACCCCTCCTCATTTCCTGAGGATTTTCCACGTTTTTAAATTTTCTCCAATGTAGCACAGGTACGGGAAGGAGGCAATTAGCATTTTTTTGGTAGCCAGAAAATGGTTTTGTTTGTAATGATGTTTTTCATCTTCACAACGACTAGAAGGTACTTAAATGCATGCATTCAAAAGCAGAATTAATATCAAAAAGGGACCGTCTAATAATATAATGTTGATTGTATTTTAGATATAGCATTATTTCAGGTAAAAACTCTTACTAATGATTACATTTATTGTCAGTTTGCTTTTTATTTACTTAAAATTAAAATTCATTCAAATATGTTTTAGAAATTTATTATTATACTTCAGTATGCTAATATGTTTCAGAATTGCTTGTATGCTAATTATATTTTTAGCTTACTTTTAATATTAGAAACATTTGTAGCTTAATCTTCCGAACTCATCAGTGCTTCTGCGCTGCTTCACAGATTCACAGCTCTTGCCATTCTGGGAGTTGTAATACGAGGATCTTTAATTTATCTCTATTATTAAATAAGAACCTCTTCGTACGCAAATACGTATGTTCTGTAGTTCTTACGTAAAAACAAGCGGTGGCACCTAGAATCACCAAGTTTTCCACACAAGTAGCCACTCACAAGACACGAACATGTGTACCTCGAAAGCCGAATATTGAATTTCGAATTTGTTAGCGCTGTTAGTCACGAAATGGGATTTTGCGTCGGTTCACTGAAAGCGGTGTACAGTAAGACCCCGCTTAACGCGGGGGATACGTTCCATCAAAGTAGAGCGTAATGCGAAACAGCGCTAAACGAGGCTATCTTTACATGTAAATATTGGGGTTAGGGAAAGATGGCTAGGAAATTGGTTAGGTATTAAATTTAAAAAGTATGTTTTTTTAATAAAAATAAAACCAAACATTTATTTCTTAAAGCCCAAATTAATACCACATTATTATTTCTTGCAAAAATAAAAACAAAATATAAATAACAAAACGAATATTCTTAAAAAAACAAATAAAATTCTCAGTCATATTTAGTTAGCCTTCCGCGTTTTCAGTGTTCTGCCTTTTTGTGACAAAAGCATCTAATGTTGTTGGCTTTTTCTTTTGCGTTGTTCTCTTAGTTCTTCATAAACGGATAGAGCATCTCTAACACCACGCCTTACTTTTGAGCTCCTGTCAAAATTCGGATCATTTTCAATGAATTGATCCATTATTTCAGTTATGGTAGACAAACTCCTTTTTACAAACGCCATCGAAAGTTCTTTTTGCTCTTCTTCTGAATCACGGCTGTCAACATTTTTGTTTTCTTCTTGTTCAGTTAATTCCTTGAGCTCATCATTAGAAAGACTAGCCGCTGCTTCTTGAATTATTTCTTCGACATCTTCCACATTTACCCCTTCAAAATATGTCTGTACAATACCGCACCAAACAAGAAATACAAGTACACTCTTTCGGATATGTATTTGAAACCTATCGCTACATAATATTTCGGGGAATCCCCGTATGCTGCGAGCGATTTCGTGGAATCCCCGGGTTGAAATAAAAGAGCGCTAAACCGAAACAGCGCTAAACGAAACAGCGTTAAGCGGGGTCTTACTGTATAACTTTTCAGATAGTTGACTTCAAATATTATCACCTTACATTATTTTTAAAGAAATTAAAGAAGAATCTGCATGTATGTATATATTTTAAGGTGGCACCTTGCCATCTTTCTACAAAGAAAATTTAAATGCTCTTGATGGGCAACCCACTGCTAATTTTTACACCTGGCTCATGACATTTATAGTGAAGTAGGGGGACTTACGTCATGGAATTTCAAAGTACTATATATGCTTATAACTAGCGATTTAAAAGCAATAACGCAGTTCTTTCCTTCTATTATTGTTATTTATTTTTTACGTTGCGCCACCTATGTAGATGCGGCTAACGTTTTCAGCTCAAAAATTCGGTAGTGAATGTTCAGTAAATAAGCATGAATTGGGGGTCCCCGTAACAGGTTTTTGCTATTTTTACAATGATGTCCGTCTGTCTATGTCTGACGAGTCTTTCAACCACGATAACTTGTAGAGTTTCATTTGATTTGGTAATGATAATTAGTCCTAAAACCTAAAGAAACGTGAAGCGAATTATCGCTATGTCTGAAACAACAACAAAATCGTCAGAAGGTTAAAAATAATCGTTTTATTTAAAATAATTTTGAACACAAAAGCTGTCTCTTGTGCTACAATAACTCGTGGGGATACATCTAAATCGAACAGTCAAATTTTAAATCAGATGTTGAACAGTAATCAAGAATTGAGCAATTAAATATTACCAGAAGCTGACTCTCTACCGTAAAGTCAAAATCAAAGTATCAGCAGCGATAGAAAACAGAGCCGAATAATTACAACTACCAGGGCTGGCAGAAAATTTAACAACCGTAACGCGCGTGCGATGTTAGAAAAGACGCTCTGTCCTAATATTACGGAAAAAAGAAGTTATAATAAAGGCTAAAATTGTAAATAACTGGTTAATTAGCATAAGATTATTTATAAACTCAAAATCAGATCAAAATTTCAGAAATTTCTCTTTTCTGTATTTAAACTTTTTGCATTTATATAAAGAGTTGATTAGATTTCGGGTAAAACTCAACAACCTGAACTGGTACTTTACTTGAAGCCCATTACAGTATTTCTTGAAGACCATAACAGTTTTTAATGAAAAATTATATTAAAATATACTCTAAAAGTTTTCAATTTTATTATTAAAAACTTTTATGTCAATGAGAACCACATACTAGATCTGAGTTAAAACTGAAGAACCGAAAACGATGCTTTACTTGAAACTATGAATAGGTTTTTATGAAAAACTATATTATAATGAAATCCAAAACTTCTCAGATTGGTATTTAAAATTTGTACATGAATGAGAACAACATATTAGATTTTCACAATATGTGGTAAACTTACTTACTTACTTACCATCATCTGAGTTGCTGTACCCCTGTTAAATGACTATCAGCATTTGTACTCAATTGGTGGAGCATTCTATTGTCGCTAGGCCTAACCAAAAATCTCTATAGAATATTAAAATTTATAGCGGAATTTATAAAAGTTTCGGAAGATGGGTATTTGTAACCTGTGGTTATTAAAGACACCCTGTCAAGACTTTGCTGAATGAGGATTTTAGCAATGTTTGATGCATTGTGATTCTGAGTTTACAGAGGATGTTTACTCTAGAAGTCAGTGGTAACTTAGATATAATACATTATAGCGAACAATATTAACTGTATATATTAACGTATATCATATGTACTGCTCACATATTTGCAGAGTTCCTGTGTAATATTTGCTTGCATAGCAGTCAGTTGTGTTTTTCTTTGATTGGAAATGTTACTTTAATCGGAAACCCCTTTAGTTAAAAACCTTTAATAATGGTATAAATTTAGAAAAAAAAAAAAAAAAAAACAGTTTTTAGACACGGCCAATTATACCTAAAATTTACTTCAAAATTTAGTATTCCATACCTTTGCATTTATTGGAAAAACTAATTAGATTTTATTTCCAAACGATTAACTGGAAGTGATCTTTACAAATAGCTTCGTTGTTATTTAAAACATAGAATCAGTGGAAGGTCATAGGTTGGCCACACCAAATTTTCATAGTAACTATTTTGAGCTGCTAGCCGAACAAGCAGCTTAAAATAGCACATAAAAATTAAAAACTTTTTTCGGCTGAAAGAAGTCCATAAACATTTACTAAATTAATCTCAGCAAACTTTTAAATTTCTGAAAAAATGATGAAAAAACTGATTTTTAAGAAAGTTAATCTAAATTTGACTAGTTTCCCAACGTTTCAAAATAACATTAACTAAAAATAATTTTATATATTATGCTCCAAAACTAGTGACGTTTTTCATTTTCCTCAAGTTTTATCATCTGAGAGTGTAGCTGGCCAGAGAAAATACAAAACAAAAAGACTACAGAAATTGTCTACGATGGCGATTTATATTCGCAGATTATTTCAAAACGTAAATTCAAAAACAGGATGTTGTTTATGTATGTTCTGTTTTAGTGCTTCTATAATGTACCGGAGATGACAAACGTTTTCATTAGAATTTGTCTTTCTTCTCTTTATAGTCCTGTCATGCGGTTATCCTGGATCTCCATCACATTCTACAGTCACTTTCAACACAGAGACGATCCAAAAGGGTACCGTTGCCACTTACAGATGTGAAACTGGTTTCGATTTACTAGGGCCCATTAGGAGGCTCTGCGTCGAGAATGGGACGTGGATACCAATCGGCGTTCCAGTATGTGGTAAGTGGAAAATCCATACAAATTTTTTTACCAATAGCTGAAGGACAATTTTACTTATCCGTCTTACATCATCAAGAATTCATGGCAGGGATAAAATAGATAATTGTTCTCCGAATCGCACATTTTTAAGCTGTTTCATTATTATCATAAATGTATTCTAGGGCTGTCTGTCCAGGAAAATATATTTTTATAGGGTAGCTTTTTTGAGAAATTGATTAGGATTCAAGTTTGCAAGTTTCTTTACATATAGTCCATTCAGATACCTCACGTTAGTCTATCTATTGCTTAGATTAAATAAAAATTTAGCATTTTTGGCCTATGTCTATACATCATATTTGCATAGCAACTCATTCTTAGCCTATATATGAAACTGATATTTTTATGAATATTCTTTGTGTTACTGGACTTTTATTGCAATCTTTAAGACTATCTGAGCCGCTTCAAATAAGGAAAAATAAATTACAAGAAAGCAGTAGATATTACAAATGATAAAATTAAGGTCTGATACTAAACAAAAAAAATTATTGAATTGACAATGTTGTTTCAGAAATACTGTTAATAACACTAAATAAAACTCAACAGAGGGACTTCAGAAACAGTTGGCTGCTTTACTGAACTGTTGACAGTTGCACTGTGAATAACAAAATTTCGGATCTGACAAAACTTCGAATTGGAAAATATACAGCAATGCGCCACACAAACAAAATTAAAAGATCATTTTAAGACCGTTCTGATATAATTGTAAGTGGTTTACTCTTATAGCAGGTAAATATGAAAATGTTTTTGAAGTTTTGTCAAATACATCATCTAGAGATAAAAAAAAGCCAATTCAATCTTTACAACTCGTTTTCTTTTCTACTTCAACTACAACTTCTCGTCTAGTAGCCATTATTACCATCTACTAGCTCTTTGATCCTTTGGAAGCTATAATGACTTCCTACTTCTTGGATCTTTTGGAACCATACTGAAACATGGCTGCAGCTTTGTTTGTCAAGACTGCAGCTTGTTCAGCGTGGGTATGGAGAGTATCTATAATGGTTTTCCTCCGGACGCATGCTTACATTTCTATACTGATGGCTCAAAGCTTGATATAGGTGGTGTTGCAGAAGCCGGAATTTTCTGTGAGCATTTCTCACAATATCTTCCTCTGGGAACTGACAAGACCGCGTTCGATGGTGAGGTTGGAGCGATTAAAGTTGCTTTGACCCATTTGATTTAAATGTTCATGCTTCCCTTTCTGAATAGTTTGTCGTATTCTCAGACTCTCAAGCAGCAATACTATCAATTGCTAATATTTGCCAAGCTTCTATTTCCTTCTCTGTAATGTAATTTAGATCTCTAGTACCAGAAGCACATAAAAAAACATATAATGGCCGTTTTGCAGTGGATTTCTTCTCATTGGACCTCCCTGGAAATGAAAAGGCTGATGAGCTGCCCAAAAGAGGATGCCATATTGTTCATGCTTTAAATGGCCAAGTTAGTTATAAGACTTCATCGTCAAAATTCAATATGACCTTCAAGAACAAGCAACTGTCACAACTAAAAGAAAGAACAAGCGACAAACTCTGGGACACTGACATCTATAATCTTTCAGACTACCCCAGAAGCAGCGATGTAATTGCCTTTCGTCTAGCTACAGTGTATAACAGTTTATATACACATCTTCACAGGTTCCAAATAGTTGATAATCTTGCCTGCCCCCTTTGCTGCAATGGTGCGCAAGTGAAAGCTGGGCATCTTCTCGTCTGCTCAGCGCTTTCTCAGAACAGTGGTTTTCCAGAATCTGAAAGGTTAGAGACTTTTTAAACAGATTTCAGACTTGATCTTGTTTTAACCCCTTTATATATAACTTCTCCTATCGCACTTTTCTGCACCATCGCATCTTAACGATATACTTTTTGTGTAATTATTCTTTGTACTTCAGACTTTTAGTTTCTATATATAACATTTTATGCAATTTTTTATATATTATTGTTTATATAATACAAAAATTAAATCTTAAGGATTAAAATCAATTTAAATCATAAACTTAACGATTCAGTTTGCGCTTTTAATTATTGTACATGAATCTTTAATAAAGCAAATGGTTTCTTAACTTAAATTAACTATTTCATTTTATTTATTTTATTTAAATATTTTTTAATTAAAACTATATTGAAAATTTTTTATTGAAAAAAATTGCATTCGAAAATTTTTATTCCCCTTACCATCCCACATGTTATTTCAAAATTTATATTAAAAAATTCCATTTAGAAATATATAATTCATTCTTTACAATTCCAAAAGCAATTTGTTTATTTTATATTGTCTTAAATACTCAAAAGCATCTATAAGATCTTTTATAGAAAATTTAACAATTTAAGAGAAATTGTTTAGAATTCTTTAGAATATGGCTCAGTTTTCTGTAAACTAGATTTGATATTTTTGATAGAATTCTATTGGGTGATTCTGAACGTGAATTATGTGCGTGACTTTTAGATACTGCACAAATATTTTGGAATCTGTGCACAAATCTCTAATTTCTACAGAATATCTATACGTAACTTTATAGAAACTATACCTTAAAATTTATAGAATTCTTGCGAAAATTTTTACAGAAAGCTGAACTATCATTCTAAAGGACTCTAAAGAAGTTTAAACATAAGATTTTTTTTGTAGAATTCTATCAGACATTGTAGCAAAGATATTTCTTTAGAAATAGCAAAAATCATAAAGTACATCTGGTAGGATTATGTTATATGTTCCAATAATTTCTGTCAGAAAGGCGATGATGACTTAGAACGAGCAGATTTTCTTATGGTGGTAATATAAAAAATATGTTTAAATTAGTTCACCTATTTGTTCTGGACTCTTTACAAATACAATGGCTTTAAGAACAAAACGTTTTAATCATACGTACAACTTTGACCATGATTGGTTGAATCATTTTTTCGAGCAATTTTAAATTTTCAATGAAAATAGCACAAGAAAAATAGAGTTCTCAAATTTGATTTAATTATTTGCCATTTTTTAAGATGTCTAAAAGCAATAGAGATGTGATTCATTAATAATTCAGATTATACTGTAAATCAACATTTTCAAATAAAATTTCTATTCAGTTTCTATGATTTTATTGATCAGCTGTCAATTACCGATCCTTGGCCGCTTTACAGTCTCCGTTTATCATACATGGAATGTGAAGTATTTCTCAAACAAATGGCAGCTTTTATTCTCTTTCAAAGTAATACCAAGGAGAAAAGTATAAAACTGAACTGATCTTTTGTGCTTATGAAGGTTTCGAGTCTAAATAACGGACAAATAGGCCCTAATACCACAAGGTATATAAAGCCTTTTCACTCCCTTTATCAAAAGCCTTCGTTTTTTCAAATGAATAACAATAACCAAGGTATTGCTTTTTAAAGCTTTTGTTTAGAGTTAGATAACAAATGCAGTTATAGGTTAAGGAAGCAATTGTGCGAAAATGTATTTTAGATTTAAGCCAAATAATGACGGTATCTGATTAAACAAGGTTATGTATAAGGAAAAGTGGCACAGTAATTGAAAGGAATCAGGTGATATACATATGCATTTTGAATGGAACATCATTTGTAATAAAATGTTTGAAAATAGTTTTTCCCGTTGAGCGGATAAAATGGAGGAATTGAGCATGGAATACAATCGTTCTCCTATTTATCTCTTGTAAGATATATCCTAATTTTATAACAGTAAACGGTGTTTTAAGTTAAAACACCTTTCCTGTATCTTCTAGCTTCAGCTTACAATTCCTTACCAGAATGAGTCTTTAGAATCACATTAAATGCAAATGAAAAGCAGAGTAAGATCTAAGTCTACTATAATGGCCGTTTCCTAATTCTCTCTATTGAAGTCAGTTACACTGACTTCAATAGAGAGAATTAGGATTCTTGAATAGCGGTCGTTTGCCTTTTGGTTACGTCTCTCTAACTGTTACTACGATGGGCCGTATTACGTGCCTTTTGATAGCTTCGCTAGCTACGTTAATGTTACGGGCCAACTAATTTAGAATTTGTGTTAGCTTCGGCTAAGTCTCTTTAGTTAGTCTTTAGTTAGTTCTTATTTCTTATATTTTTGAGTTTAAGCCCAATGGAGGCTTTGTTGTACGCCCTGAGAAAGGAGCCATCTGTGAATCTTTATTTTGAGTAATAAAGGGTAATTAACCCTTCTTGAGCTTATGTTTCTGTTCTTGGATTTAAGCGATTATTCGCTTAGTAATTCACTAGGTTCCTCAACATTTAGTTAATAGATAAAAGGGAAGAACACCGCACTCTGTTAAAATAATCTCATCCCAAAAAAGAAGAATTTCTCAATCACGATTTTAGATAAATAATTAGAATTAAATGTATTATAAGGAAGCAATCTTCAAACAAAAAACAAATATGTCTTTAGGCGAATATCTTATAATATAAGGCGAAAAGAGTGTACGAATATAATGCTTACAGATACGCTTTTCCCTAGCTATGTGTTTTGTTTTCGAGCTGAAATAATTTTAAAAAGCCGAGGTCCTACATTACTTGCATCAAGAATTTAAGCGTTAATGTAAATACGAAAATTCTTTATCCTTTCTGCAAAATACTGTATTCCTGTATAAATTTAACTATAATTTTATATTGCGGACAAATTCCGCAAACACATATTTTAAAACTGAAGTTAATACAAATAAATATCACAATTTGTCTATAAAAACCTTCGACGCTTGTAATAAACAATAAGGCATTCCAGTTCAAAGATATATTTCCCATTTGCCAGCTTCCCTAATAAATGTACGTATTTTGCTTAAATTACAAATTCTCTTTTTCGTTTGCTTTTATGTTAATTCAAATTTACTCATGCATAGTCTTAATTATCATAATATATTTAAATAATAAATTTACTTATGCAGAACTTAATTTATAATATTATATTTACTAATACATAAATTTGGAAACATTGATAACTGTAAAATTGATTATATAGTACAAAAGTAAATAATAATAAATTTAGTT